CTATTCAGGAGTAAATGGCCAACAGATAACACTTTTTGTTGTGTTGAAACAGTTGTAGCCTGTGAATAAATTCTGGTCCAAGGTCCCATTTTAAGGCTATGTACTATGTCACATGTGCCTCCTTGGTATCATACATCTCAGTGGAAACATTTCCCATGAGAATTGAGCGAGACCCTCTTCTATGATAGTGGGTCTGTAGTGCATTGCCTTTTTTTTTGGTACTGGGGAAGATACAGGGAAGAACTTAGATAGTTGCACTTATTTCCTGGACAGAACTGATAAATGTGTTTATACATTCACAAAACTGTGTCACTTTATACAGGAAGGTGAGAATATATGCAATTCCTTTTTACATAATTGGAAATAAGTAAAAGGTTGATGACAGAGAACTGATTATCTTCAGGATGATCATAATACTCCAGTTTCAGTGGATAAATTAGCGATGACCTGTTTTGTCTCTAAAGCTTCCAGTGGCTGTAAATGTTTGATAATGATAGTTTGGACCTAGTAGGTGTTGATTGAACAGCTGAGTGTGACTGGAACATGTTCTTTCTTCTCTTTCAGTGGTTTGGGGAGAATGCAATCATTCCTTCCACAACTGCTGCATGTCCTTGTGGGTGAAACAGAATAATCGCTGTCCCCTCTGCCAGCAGGACTGGGTAGTCCAGAGAATAGGCAAATAAAAACTGGAAGGTTTTTGTCTGTTGAACTTGTTGAAATAGTGTGTGTCTTATGCCATATGCTCAGTGCAAACGAACGGAACATGTCAGTCACAACATGACTTGTTTAGTTTGTCTGCTGCAAAGGTCAGTGTGGGTTTGATTTGTGCTCTTTGCTGTAGGAGGAGGCAATGGTCAGTCTTACTGCATATGTTCTACAACTGAAAGGAGAGACACTACGTTAAAATGTATCTGCTACAAATAAACGTTACCTTTAGCAGAGCATAGAAGTGTGGTGGTGCAGATTATACCCTAATTTAATGTTTTTCCGTAGATAAATGAATTAATTGAAAGGGTGACCTTACCTGTAAGTCTGATACACTGCATAGTTTACTGTCAAGATAAGGAAAATGTTTTCTAAGTAATATTGTATACAAAAACACAGTCAATGTGTTTTTTAGGAACTGTTTTGGTTTTTAATCTAAAATGAAGAGTGTGTAAAACATTTACAATGTGCTTTTTCCATCACGCTGTATTAAACATTTCTAATTCAGGTTTTCTTTATGACTTTTGTTGTATCTCTAAGTCTGCTGCTCTATAATAATCTGTACATAATTTCTACACCATAATATTAAAATTTAAGCACATTAATAATTTTTTATTTATATTTCTGTTAACGATCATGGAGACATGTGTTTTTAATCCAGAGAGATTTGGTACAAAGACATGGATTTCATATCAGTTAACTAGAGGTGTAGACAATCTTGCTGGTTAGCTCACTAATATAGGAAGCAAACAAAATGGATAATTGAAATATCCCAAGGAAAACAAGCACTAACTAAATCTATGGGAAAAAGTGTTTAGTTGTGGTTTCATGAAAATTCAGTTAATAGAAATTTCTTTATTATCTTTTTACTGATTACAGTGTTTTGGAAGCATTGTTTCATTTTTGTGGAAATCCTCAATATATCATCTTTTTTATATGAATTGTGATCTTGTTCTTACAAATATTTAAGTGCTTGCCTCTGACTTTGTCTTTTCCCTAAATATCCAAAGTAATTACTATTAATCTGAACATATGCTGTGGGGTGTTTTTAGTATGTGTAATGGAGAGGTAGAATTACTGCTTTAAGTCTGTAACAAATTCAGGATTAATAAAATGGTTAATCAACATGGGTAAAACTGAAGCAATATTATATGCATTGTTTACTTCAAAATTATCATCTTAAATGTTTGATGTGTTTCTCCGCAGATGTACCTCTATCTGGTTCTGTTTAAGTACATTTAAAGAGGTTTATCTTCACTGTATAACGTACTTCCAATGGCAATCTTTGTGTCATCAAACATTTATGCAGAGTTTTCTGGGGTTTTGTTTATTACTTGTAATCTTGTTTTTAAGATGTTTTAAATTTTTTAAATACAGCTTTTGTCTCATTACACACTGAGATCAAAAAAAATCCTCTGTGTCACTGTTACACTCTGTCACATCCCTTGTCATTATCCCAGATGATGTCTGTCTTTTAACAGTAGTAATGAAGTGCCTATAGCATTTACATTGTTGAGGAGTATTTCTGCTTGTGTACAAGTATTCACAAAATGTTTGCAAAAAAAAAATATGAATGGATGTGGAAATAAATTTTAGCTTGTCATAGTTAAACTGTATCTTACCTACTGTCTATTTTCTCTGCCTGACTTTGGTCCCAGGCTCCATCCTGTAACCTCTGTTAATGCCATCTAGTCCCATCAGAGGACTTCTTTCTTCATTTTTCTTTGGTCTGTAGGTGAATATGGAGAGTAACAAGCCCTACTTTTAGTTCACGTCATGTGCATGGCAGGAGTACCTGAGAATTACAGTTGTAGAAGAGTTTTTCCAAAGTGTTGGGTCAAAGGGGTATTGACACAAATGAGGTGTTAGCAAAGTTAATGTTGAAATCAAAGCAGCTGATACTTGTGTGTATCTGTTTGTGTATTAGAAGTATCTTGTTGACCAGTATTTGAGGTTCGTCTAGAACATAAGGTAATGAATTTTAAGTCCTGCATATTTTGTCTGTGATTTAGAGATGAGCTTAGGTCCCACTCTTTCTATAAGTTTTGCACCAGAGATATTTTCTTTTCCAGATCATATCCTGATATTCCATTAGCGTAGTTGTTAGTAAGTCTCCATTTTCAGTTCTGTCATTGTTTACCTGTGCCTGCAAAATAAATCAGTTTTGCTTCTCACCCAAACGTACTGTCTTATGAGTAGGTAACACTATCTTAAACAGCTTTTATCAATTAATAGATTAATGCTGAGCTACTTTTTTCCAGTGTTTAATAAATACTGATTTGGATAAGTCAACAAGCACATCTAGCTAGAGTCTTCTCTCAAAAGTGACTGGAGTAATGAATATGAGTTGAATGATCATATTGTTAGATTTTGCTTTTCATGAAATTATGTTCTTTTAGTGAAAGTTTACGTTCCATAGAAACTAGGAAAGAGTCTACTTATCAGAGTAGAAGGTTTTTGGAGTGTAAATGTTTGTCTTCCATAGGTTCCATAAACATTAGGTGTTCTCTTGATTTGCTTAGACTTGAATATATCAATAGCTGGTGTAAGCTTGAGTTCAGCCTTAGGACCCCAACTACCTGCCATTTGTACTCTGCTCTTTGAGCTGTGGTGGCATTCTGGCTAAATGTAAAGAAGACCCTGCTGAATTTCAGGACCTGAAATGAAAGCTTTGTTACCTCCTTTCTTTCCTCTCTACCCAGGATATTATAGGAATGTGTTGCTGTAGGCACCCTTTTCAGGAAAGCCACCAGGAGAATTCCCCATTCCTTCCTCTGGCTATTTTGAGCTTTACCCACACTGCACTGTTCAGCCCTTTATGTAACCACCTCCTGGCCCCACTTGCTCTCACCTGGCAGAACTGGCCAGGCTTTCAAATACTCTGCCTCAGAGTACCCCTGTTAACATGCACACACAGCAGTTTGCAATGGATGGCCCCCTCAATCTCACCTGGAAAATACACCTCCAAGGTAATTTGGTTAAGTATGAGTTTTATGTCAAATGGATTCAACAAAGATAGGATTAATGCTTGTAAAAACAAAATACTGCATGGTTGTAGAGTGGCAAAAAGCAGCCAAGAAGGGCTTAGCACTTACTGTAGGGAGTCTGAAAGGTGCCTGTTATTACTCTTGATGTTTAGTTTTTGTGATTCAGCTCTTCTGCTTGCTCTAAGACTGGGAGGAGGGAGGGGCAAAGAAACTTGACCTTGACCTCAAGAGTATACAGCTTGACCCCAGTGCTACTGGAGGAATCATGAAACTTCTTTTCTTGTTCCCATAATACCTTCCTTATATTTAAAGAAAGTTTCAACAGCCAAGTCACCTGACCCCACAGCAGAAGGGGGCTTAGCCTAGTAAGTGCCACACATCATTCTTATTCTTTTGAGGGAAAAAAATACCTCCTGGTAGGCAGCCAGCAAGTAAAGTCAAGTGGAATTTGCCTTCACTTGATTATAATCAGCTTTGTCCCTTTGTTGATGTCACCTCAGCTATATGCAGTTGCCATCTTCTCATCCCGACACTTTCCGTCACAAAGCTCAGCAGAGAAAATAAACTGAGGCCAAAACATAGAAGTGTTTTGGCAAGATTTGGCTGGTCATGTGAAGTGTTTTTCCTTTTTTCTGTGGGTAGGAGATGAAGTCAGAAGTGTATGTTGTTTTGTATGTAGGGATCACTATTTTTGGTTCTTAGCCTGCACGTAATCTGCTCAGACAGAGCAACGCCAGGCATCCGGGCTGGCATGAGCTGTCTGTGGAGCTCATCGCTGATGTTGAGTATAACTTGAGTTTTGGAAGTGTGGATGCTCAAATCCTGTGGTAATTTAAAGCTCAACATCTCATGTTCATCTATGTCAACTTCTGTTTAGGCCTGGCAGATTTGTGATAAAAGCTTTTCATAAAATCAGATCCCAGCATATGTAACTGTGGCTATGCCGGGGTTCTTTGTCGAACGAGGGAGATCCAGGGCTGTCCCGACTGTGGCCAAAGTGCCCCCGAGTTGGAGAGAGCATGTATTGCAGACGGGAATCTCTGCATGTTCCCAGCAGCCAGGGACAGTGCAAGTAGGGGGAATCTCAGTACATTTAAAAATTGTCAGAGCCCATTCTGAAAAACACCAGCTGAACCACGTGCATTTGGTGCTGCTGGGAAGGTTTGCCCAGGATGTCATCCCTCGGCTATACATAGCAAACTCAAAGCTCCTTACAGAGAAACCTCTTACCAGTCACTTTCCACAAATGGTGCATATATCTAAAGGTACTTAGGGAAAATCCTTGAGAGGTATTTAATGCAAAAGCAGTTGGTCTCTCTGGTGTTTTTCAGAAGACCTCAGCACACCACTGGCAGCAGAAGTGCAGGGCAGCTCCAGTACAGCACTTGGACCAGTTACTCATTTTGTGTGAAACCAGGCTCTGCCACCCCAAGAGCTTGCCAAGATGTGTGACATGGGGGGGCTCGACAACCTGATTGCCAACACGGCCTACCTCCAGGCGAGGAAGAGTGGAGAGGCAGACACCAAGGAGATGCAAAAGAGACGTAAGAGCCTTTCACTGCCCAAACTTGACCAATGCAAAGAGCAGAGAGAGTCCATTGTTGCTGATTATGAAAGCATCTGTGAGCAGCAGCCCATTGGCAAGAAATTCTTCAGAGATTTCTTAGAGACAGTGCCAGAATATTTGGTAGCTAGGGACTTCCTGGATGAGGTATCAAACTGGGAGCTGGCAGAGGACAGCATCAAGAACAGTACCATGGAAAATATGGTCACCAATTTTCTTAAGGAAGGCTCCAAAAACTATCTGTCTTTTATGAGCTCTGACTTGGTCAGCAAATGCCAGGCAGCTACTGCAAAAGACTATGAGAATGTCATGCAGCTGGCCAAGGAGGAAACCAAAGTCTTCCTTAAAGACAAGCCCTTCCAGGATTTCCAGACCAGCCCCTTCTATGACAAATTCATCCAATGGAAAGTTTTTGAGAAGCAACCGGTAACTGATAAATACTTCTATGAGTTCCGAGTGCTGGGCAAAGGTGGCTTTGGAGAGGTAAGAGCTGCACTTTTAAGGATGTGAGTCATCCCTTCCCTTTCAAGACCAGCAGGTGGGTTTGCAAAGAGCAGTGGATTAAGACATCGTGTAAAGATTTGTAAAAGTGTCCCTTCAGATTGCCCGTTTTCCAGAAAATGGGCTGGGTTATTTGTACTGTGATAGAGTTAGTGAAGAGCTGCTTTGAAGTTTTTACATTCTGTATCTATGCTAGTAAAAAAACAGGCTTCTTTACAAAAACTTGCATGACTGTCCATATAGTTAAGTATGGACTTAATGCTCCTTGGCACCATTTTAGCCTGTGGTAGCTCACACGGTCCCAGATAATTCCTAGCTGCAGTGTAGGGAATAGCATGATCTGTTCCCAAATTACAGCATGAGTGAGACTACCTTTTTTGAGAGGCAAGAGAGTTAAACTGTACAGATGCAATCTGTATACGCTGCTTATTCTCTTGGTTACAGAATTTTGTTCTTGTCCTTGTTCCTCTTATTTGCTAATACATGTCTGCTAATGGTGTCCTGAAGAACTTTGCATCAGGTCAACCATATACTGGTTGAGAACAGAACAGATTGTACTCTTGGTTTTTCCCTTATTTTCTCTGCTAATACGCTCTTCCATGGAAGTTAGCATCAGCAGCTACTTATAGGCATCAGTGATTCCCCAATTTCTGCCTACTACCACCCTTGATATTCCAGTCCCCGTGTAAAATTCCTTCATTACTTTTCCGTATGCATCTTCTCTAGGTTTGTGCCATCCAGGTGAAAAATACTGGCAAGATGTATGCCTGCAAGAAACTGGATAAAAAAAGGTTGAAAAAGAAAAGTGGAGAGAAGATGGCACTGCTGGAGAAAGAGATCCTGGAGAAGGTCAACAGCCCTTTCATAGTCACACTGGCTTATGCCTATGAGAGCAAAACCCATCTGTGTCTTGTTATGAGCCTCATGAATGGAGGGGATCTGAAGTATCACATCTACAACGTGGGAGAACGGGGTTTGGAAATGAAGAGGATCATTTATTACTCAGCTCAGATCACCTGTGGGATTCTGCATCTCCATTCCATCAACATTGTGTACCGGGATATGAAACCAGAGAATGTCCTCCTGGATGATAATGGGAATTGCAGACTGTCTGATCTTGGATTGGCAGTGCAAGTCAAAGAGGGAAAACCCATCACTCAGAGGGTGAGTACAAATTCGCTGAACATGGGAAGTGGGAAGTGAAGCTGTTCTATTTCTAATGCCTGATAAGTCCAAGACTTAATTCCCTGCAATTTATTCTTTGCTAAAGACCTTACATAGTCATTTCATTCTAAGAGACAGGTTGTAAGAAGATTTGGTTAATTGACTCTCTAACTGCTGCATGTAGTAAAATAACTTATTTTGCACAGAAAGAGCAGAATGAACCTGACCTGTTGTTTCTCTTAAGCTCTCAAACCAATCATTTTAGGGGGGCAGATGCCTTGTGCCTTGAGCAATCCTGCATAGTCAGGGATTTAACCAATTACTTTTTTAATGAGCAGCAGTCAAACATATGACTCCTTGTATTCCACTTTTGCTCCTAGAAGAATACAATTTCTTATGCGTTGCTCTTAAGTGATTGCATTGCAGACGTTTGTGGTGCTGCACAATAAACCATTGCCAGCCTTCCTCCTTCCCAAAAATTAAATCCTGATAAAGTTAGCACATATGACAATTTGCAAATGTACCTGCCTGTCTGCATGTGTAGGAAGAAAAAGATGGATGACCAACTGGATTTTGTTGTGTGAATTAGATTGTGCAGCACTTAGCTGTGCCTGTGGTCAGCCCAAACTCACCTGGATTTGTGATAACGTCAGGAGGTTTACACAAGAAATATGTAGGTAGCTTAACTATGAAAAAAGCCTATTTCTCTCAAGGTATCTGGAGCTTAAAGATATATATAATGAATGTGTCTGAAATACACTAAGAATATGAAGAAACAGAAGCAACATTATAATAACCTGGTCTAACTACCTTATGTGAAACTCCCCAAGTCTTTCACACTAGAAATTCAGTAAGAGAGAGGACCTTCTAGTGGCCTTCTGCATCATGCTTGAAGTACACATTTTTGATGTCAGTAAATACAGTAATTTTGAAGGAAATTTTCTTTTCCTGGCAATTTAGGAAGTTTGTATTATGAGTGGTTTTAGTTCTCACTGAAAGAAAAGATGGAAACTGCTGAATGTATAGATAGTAAATAAATATAAAATGGGAATGCATAGTGTTTTGGATACAAAAATGCAGTTTCTATGAAAGCTAAGGCAGGTTTTTAAGTAGAACTTACGTGAAATGGGAATGTTGTTTTGTTTGTGAAGATGGCATTTTGCTCAGTGAACCCAAAGCTATAAACTTACTGTGCTGTGCAAGTTCCAGATCCATGCAGTTACTATGGTCAGAAAAAATAATGTTGTTGAAGGGCAGAGGAAAAAACCAAAATGAAACAGTGTATTTAGCTATGTGTAACCACTTCTGTGGGTATGAGGGTTGAGTCTCAAAGCAATACTGGTCAAGATGGTTGTTCCTCACCTATGACAGTCATCAAGTTGTTAATGACTCTTCTTCTGTTGTTCACTGTTTTTAGAAGCTCTATTCACCACTGTGTGCTTTTTATTAGGGCAAAAACTGCAATGAATAGTGTAATGATTGTAATGCATTATAGGAATTTCTGTTAAATGCAGTTTTATTAATTCAGAACATTGAAATAAGAAAGAAAAAGAAGGTATTTTTTTCATTTTCTGTATCATAACTATGAGTGAGTAAAATCAATAATAATTCCCAGTGTCATTTTGCATTTCTGTAAATTAGTCATATTTGAATCCTTTGAAAGCTCCTCCAAAAACCATTTTATGAGGGCTAGATATTGTTATTATTTAAACTAATGTCATACACAGGAAGACCAAAGAACAGATTTACACAGTTTACCTTAAGCTTCACCATGTACCTCTGTAATAAAATAAAAATGGTGCTGTTAAAGTAATTTTTGTTCACACTTCTATTGTAACTTAAAATCAGCAGAAAATTTACATCATAGCATGCTTTTTGAGTATGACTACCAAACTGTTATCACTTAAAAAAAAGTTATTTGTATAGGTTTGGGTTTTTTCACCCAAAAGGATATATGGCTCCAAGACAGGTTTATCAAATGAAATCTAATCAGTTCACCATTTTGTGGACACAGTTTTCTAAGGGCATTTTTATAAGCCAAAGCAGAAAATATATTCCTTCCAGGCCAAATCTGTATTGTACTGGTATCTGAGTGAAGTGTCTAACATCATAGATCTGTTTCTAGATTTTGGATGATGGTCTGAACTGACAATTTAGGGCTTACAATTTTCAGTCACTAATTAAGGGATATTACTACTAATCTATAGAATGTAATATATGGATTTATCTGTGTATTCATTTCATTAGAAATTTTGATGAATTCTGAAAGTTTTGTGTACCTCTCATGGGTGTACAAGCTATTAAAGATGAAATTTCTTATAAAAAAATTCCCAACCCCTCATGTATGAATAAAGGCACATCACCCACACATCACCTGGAGGATCCATTAATCCCTTTTCTAAATCTTATTAGGTGATTAGGTTGTCACATGGCACAAGTAATGAGCTAGTTAATGAGTTCCTGTTTTAGACATTTTCTAAGTTTTCAGTGGAGGTGTCTGTGAAACTATAATGTTTATATACTGTTCACTAGCCAAATTTTCTTTATGGGTAGAAAGGTTTTTTGACTTTTAGATGGGTGAGTTCAATGTGGTCTTCTTAAAAAGTAGTGTGTGTTTATGCTGCAGAAAAGGCATTGTGCAACTGGCGATTTAATACTTATGTAATTGAAGTAGCAGCCCTGCTATTCTTTAAGTATTGCCATTACATATACTCCTTTTGAAAAATAGTTGTGTGCTGTGTGCCAATTGCCTGCAACTATTATAAATAAAAATACCCTGCTTTCAGAAACAGCGCTCCTTACAAAGATCTAGAAAGAGTTGGATATCCAGCCTTAGTTTTCTCCCCTTCTTCTCAATTGCTAAAGCATCTGGTAGAAACATCCAACTTCCCATGTGAATGTCACTTTGAACATACATAGGCAGTTGTAAGTAATTGGTACAGTAATAATGACAGAATTTAGAAAACTTTAATTTCACTATGTGTGCTAATTTGTCCTTGTGAAGTGCTAACTGGTTTTGGAATGGAGAAATCACCAAAAAAAAAAAAAAAACCCACACAAATTAAAATAACAACAGTCTTGGAAATAAAAGAAAGTAGAAGGCAATTAAAAACTAATTACAATATATTTTTTCTTCATCAAACATAGATTAGATTGGATCTTCTCATGATACATACATGTACCTGTGCAATCTCCCAAGAAATGTATATATTCACACTTACTCAGGCAGAGCTCTTACTGATATCACTGGAAACAGAAACTCTTTTCCAGTGGTAATCAAATTATTGAGGACTTTAAGAAATATCATGATTTCATCTCATCTGATGTGTGGATCATTCTGTGCAAAAACTAGCTTGTATCTTAAAATTATGACTTTTAAAATGTTGATATTCTCTCTGTCTTACATAATTGAAATAGTCAACAAGGAGAAACTGAGAGCCTGCACAGGTGGCTTTCCATAGACCTAGTGTTTTGTCTGGTTATGTACCTGATTGATTCTTGAACTAGTTTTTTTCATATATGACAGAAACGAGGAGCCTCCATCCCAAGTTTCTCCACTTGAACAGTTTGACCTGTCATCTTTTTCTTGAAGTCTCTACAACTTTTTCTCATACTACTCAAAATTCACTTCTTGTGAGTCAAATGCTCCTGCCCTTATCCAAAAAAGTAATACTTCTTCATTAGACCTTAATTAAACCTGAGAATGGTTGTGAGAAAAGTCAGTGTGTTCTTCTGTTTACTACCCTCATATCCTCTGCATATTGAAATATAGAGGACTTAATTCCATTTTTCCAGAAGTCAGAGTGTATTTGCCGTTTATTTCGGGAAGAACTTTCTGCCCTTACTGGGTTTGGCCTTTGTGCGAAGCAACTGTTGCATGTAAATGGTGAAGGACTTTCGTGCAGATGCGTGTGAGCCACAGAGCTTAAATATTGACATAATAACTGCGAAAAATAACACAAACATATTTTTGTAGTATTTATAAAAGTGCATTCATATCTTCAGAGGTTTCAGGCTTCTTCACAGTTTTCCTGTGCTATGTTTTATATATTTGAAGGACATCATAATATTTTTATAGGAAAAACATGTTTTGGTTAAAATCTTACTCAAAATGTCCTTTTGCCCTCCTGTATGTTTGTTTATCATAAGATTCTATTTCTTAGGAAAACAGAAGGAAATCTATTTAGATGTTCCTGAAACTTGCAGTTTAATTTCAAGGCAGATGAGAAGCAGGAGGAGGGTTTAGACTTGTGAAAGAAAAAATAACTCAGCAAGCTATTCTACAGTTGACCTTTGTTCATTATCACATGGCATTCTTACTGGATAAGATTCTGTAAAAATCTGTTCTTCCTTTGCACTTCAAAAAATGACAGCTCCTTTGTTCAGAATTAGAGGGACTTGCTGCTGTTTTGCAGTTTCAAAACCACCATTCTGCTTATGAATTTTAAGTATGACATGTAAGATTGGTGTTTTTACTAGCAGAACTTTGTTCTTAAAAATTTTGACAGTCACAGTTGTTTTGAACTGCATCACCATGACAGGTGTTTTGTTTTTTTTTTAATCTCTAAACATAGACTTTACAGAATGTAGCCTTATCCACACAAGTCTGTGGGGCCAGCTAGGAGCTGGCACAGGTGCTCACGAAGCCACTTCCCATCATTTACGAGCCATCCTGGCAAACCAGGGAGGTCCCTGGGGGACTCATTTTGGCTGGACATGAGCAAATGTGATACCCATCCACAAGAAGGGCCAGACAGCGGATCTGGGGAACTACAGGCCTGTCAGCCTGACCTCGGTACTGGAGAAGGTCATGGATTGAGAGCTGTCATGCAGCACATACCAGATAACTAAGGGATCAGGCACAGCCAGCACAGGTTTATGAAAGGCAGGTCCTGCTTGACCATCCTGATCTCCTTCTGTGACAGGGTGACCCACTCTGTGGACAGGGGAGAGAGTGTGAATGTGTCTGCCTGGACTGTAGTAAATTCTTTGTCACTGTT